CATGTTCGAGATACAGGTGATCACGGACGCACGGGCGGACGGACGGACGGACGGACGGACGCACACAGGGCAAAACATAAGTCCCTGTTTTCGGACTGCGTCCGAACAGGGGACTAAAAATATGGTAATATTATTGTTCAGCAACTATTACAATAAAATGGTCCAATTAATATTTCACTGAAAAATAATTTTTGTTAATAAATTTGCATGTACTCTCCATACTAGACTCTGGTCAGCCAAAGGATTGTCTACTCTTGGGTTATTTAATGGCCATTTCAGGCCCAACAACCTTCAACTAGTGGGAACTGGACCAATAAATTTTAAATAATATATTTAATGTGTGGTTAGGTTTTTTCACAGAATTGAATTTTCTAGGACACAACAGCAGAATGTCTCATTTCAGTGGCATCACTTTTTGATTTCACAGGCTTTATAGGAATATTTATGTGTAAGGTATAAACCACAGATTTATCTACATGTATACCTTGAGTATTTTTTACAAAATATAGAATTTATAGAAATTTCATGAATTTTGACTAAATTGCACATTTTAAGATAATGTATTGGAATCAATGTTTCAAAACATTAAAATTATGCATACACATTCAGAATCAAAATTAAAACTTTGCAAAGCCAAAGAATATACACAATTATGCAATATTTGTAAAATATCTAGTAAACAAAAATTTTCAACAGTCAGTTGAACATACACATACCAATCATATTACCTCTATTGTGTGCCTTGCACATACAGAAACTAAACAACATTAATTTCTAATACACATAATTCAAAGTTTACATAAAAAATGTTTAGAGGATAATGAATGGAAATTAATAATAGTAACCATACCAACAGAAGAGCATCATAAAACTCTTTCAAACATTTCTTGCATTTTTCAGTGTCGTGACCAACCAGAAAAGCTTCCAGAAACTGTACAAATGCAAACAAGCTACAATCCTATAAAAAACAACAAACACTGAGTTGGCACATAAGAATAACATAGTGTAACTATTACAACCTTGCCCATTGAGAATCTAGATTAACAAATGGGCGAATGGATACAAGCTAAGAATGCATGATCTTTTCTTTGCAAGGCAAAAGTGAGTATAAAAGTTCTGAAACAATGCAATAACATAGCTAAACATGTTGCATGAAAAATACTAGTTAAAATTCAGATTTGAACAATTCTGACCAAAAATGGACAAGAACAAAGAAGTCATCGAAATTTCATGAAAAAATTAATATACATGTTCCTTAAACAATAACAATCAATGTTCCTTGTAGAATAATGTAACATGAATTGTATAAAAGTTTTTTAAAAACATTTGGCAGGAAAAAATACTAGCCAACATTTTTCCCTCAATTAATGCTACAAGTACATGTACTGTGTTAATATCAATGTCCCTTATAGAACAAGCCATGCATGACACAATCTCTGTTAGTTATTAAATTTAAGATATAGTTTTGTTTATAGTATCCAGAAACTGATGCTTGATTATGATGATTTTTTAACATTAAAATGATTGACAGTCATCTTGTATCTGATCATCAAATCAGACATTTTTTTCCTCAAACATTAACCTACATCTATGATTATACATGTACAAGGCACAAATGAAATCAGTTTGTCATAATTTGCAAACCATTTTAAATAAAAAATACTCACCTTGTCAAAAATTTGGAAACCTTTTACAAGCATAGATAGATACCCCTTCTCAACAATAATATCCAAAATTTGGGAAAAATCACCTAGGTCCCATTTATGCCACTGCACTGTTGTCATGTCATTAGCTTTGGCAACTTTGGCAACAGAAACTTCATCCATGGAAACCAGAAGCCAGACACACAAACAATCCAACATCACTGCTTCCTGCAAATATATTACCAGTACTTGTTCACATGAGGGCAGAGGTCAACTAAGATTAGATATGGAGTTTGTAAAGAATATATCAAATGTATATTTAAAGTCTTAAATTTTGATGATATATAGAAACCCTGTTATTATATAGTATATATATGTAGTAATAGTTTAAAACCAATAGTAATATTTAATAATTTTAATGTATATTATAATACAAACAATATGATACCTTATAACAAGCAGCTAATATGGCTAATACTGGCTGACTTAATACAACACTGTGAGCAAGTAATGATCTCCATGGATGTGAATAATTATGACATGTAAACATTATACTGAAAAGATCCTTAGCAACATATCTTGCTTCAAGGTCTGTAAAAGAAGAAAAGTGAAAACATTAAATATATGTTTATTTGATCCTTCAAATCAGTACTTTTTTTATAAAATTACTGATCACCCCTGACATACTGCCAGCTCCTTATTTCCCATCAGCTGTGTGCTGACTCCATACTGTAAAATGACTAATTTTTCACTGGATTTAAATTTCGCTGATTTAGCATTTCTGGCATATTCAGAGGGTTTTAAATTCACAGTTTTATCATTTAGATATTGTGTTCTATGCTAAATTTTACATATTCACTGGGTTTTAATTTAACGCAGTTTCCAGTCAGCTAAATAAGCAAAATTAAAACCCAGTGAATAATTAATCCATTTACAGTAGCTGCCTCCATCTCATTGAGCTCCCACTGGCAGCCCCTGATACACACTTATCACAGCATACTGAAAACTGCACTTTCATGTGCCTTCAAACTCATGTGGCTTCCGCCATGATAGCTTCATCACATCTGTCCTTGCATTTCATCCTTATAATTTCTATGATGCCCACTAACCATCTCATGACACTCATTGACATTGCTAGAATCATCTCTACTTTTTACTGATTAATGACCTTGTACTAACCAGATGGAGGTATATCAGAGCCGGTATCTGATGACACCAGAGTGGTAGAATCATCTGTCTTATGCATAGCTTCAGATTCTTTGTCACTATCAGTGCTACTACCAACTAGAAAAAATGAAAATGCAACGTCAAATAATAAGTAACCAAAATTTATATTAAATTATTCTTTCATAGCATGAAGTACATTTCTATAACTCCATGAGGCATGACCTAAAATCAGGCAGTATTATGCGAAGCACCACAAAACCAAATTGGTAGGAAGAAAATATAGTTACATATTTTCTTTATACTTAAATAAAAAATTGCACAGTACTAAATAATTAAAATTTTCTTTTATTTTGCCATACATTAATAACATAAGCACATGCTCTAGACTACTAACATGCAAATATGGTAGAGTAAACAAGAAATTTTTTACCAATGTCTCCTTTGGCTATGCCAACCCTTTTCAGGTACTGTGCTCTCAGATCTTTAGATCGTTTAGCCTGCTCTTCGTTTCTGCTTAGATGTCCCTTTCCATCAGGAATATACTGTAGGTTTTCCACTGCATGTTGAAGATGTTCACGGATATGAGGACTATGGA